GGTTAATTCGTACAAAAGATGTTATAGTAATTTAATTTAATTTAAAAGAAAATAAAATATTTTCTCTCTCTTATTAATTTCATTCACTAAGTCATTTCATGAGAGATGAGAGAGAAATGAGTAAAAGAAAGAATTTAATAGGAGAGAGATAAATAAGTTAGAGAAAGAATTTAATAGGAAGGAGAAATGGGTTGGAGAAGGAATTTAATAGGAGAGAAAAATGACTTAGTGAAAGAAATTAATAAGAGAGAGAAAATATTTAATTTTTATTTAAAATTAAATTAAATTACTATAATATCTTTTATACAAATTAACTAAATCAAAAGAAATGGGTGGTTTTTTTGTCCTAAAATTTTGGTGTAGGTTGCTAACATACTCCCACTAAAAAATAGGTGAGAGTATATTAGCATTCCCCTTTAAATTATTTATATTTTTTATTTTATATCATTTTTAAACAAAATATATAGAGATACGAAGTGTCTTTGTCTCACTAATAAACCATAGAATGAATATAACGAAGTGTGTAAACTAAAATACTCTATCACCTTTATATATATTATTGATATATATATATATATATATATGTGTGTGTGTGTGTGTGTGTGTGTGTGTGTGTATGTGTGTGTGTGTGTGCACGCGCCTGTGTGTGTGTGTGCACGCGCGCCTGTGTGTGTATATATATAATATACATAATAGGTGGAAAATGTACTAATTATTAATTAGTTAGAATGTAAATAAAGAAATACTATTTTTAATCGGTGATAATGGGCTTAGCTGAGGTGGGACGTCCAACCCATTGGAACATCCTATTTAAATAAAAATTATTTATTATATAATTATTTATGTTAAAATGTTAAATAATAACTTAATAAGTAAATTTTATTACAAATACATTATTTCTAAAATATTTTTATCTTTCTTTTTATTATAATAGAATTATTTTAATTATCACAAATTTTCAAAGTAATTTTAGACTAAAAGGTCTCGAGGAGATGGATTATGCAAAATGTGTTGTTGTGATGTATGCATTGAGTCCACCCATACATGTTTTGCTCGTGGGGTAGTGTGAGTCTATGTAGGTGGAATATCATAGGTCATCTACTTATGTTTAGGGGATATTATGCTAGAAAACCTCTAATGGGAATGAGAAGCTACCATGTCCAGTTGTAACACTTCGACAGGACCCTGATAGAAATCACCTAGTTGAGGTGGTTTGGGTGTAGATCACTATTGATGGGGAGTCCCTACACTATTTGATGGGGTGGTCTTGTTCCATGACTTCTAGGTCATTTTGTATTCTTGATGATGAGGACACATGCATATATAGTTTGGAGAATTCATTACACGAGTCTTAATTTGTAATTGATATATGTTGTGTGAATTACTGGTTATGAATAAGGAATGAATGTATATAGATTATTATTGTAGATATATGGGAGGATATTTATATGTATGCGAGATATTATTGATGTTAAAGATGTGTGTCTTTACCTTTATGTCTTATATATGCTATTTATGGATGAGATGTATTTTGACTATTGGGAAAAACTCAAGTCCCACATCGACTAGAGATTAGGCAATTGAATAGTATATAAGTGGAAAGCAACCCTCACCTTACAAGCCGGTTTTGTAGGGTTGAGTTAGGCTTAATCCATTATTCTAACATGGTATCAGAGCCATTTAGATCCACTTTAAATGGGCCACCCACCATTGATGCATGTGCCATAGGCAAGAGGGGGTGTATTGGGAAAAAACCCAAGTCCCGCCTATCCTAGATCATTAAAAAGGGCCACCCACCATTTATCCACGTACCAAGCCCAATAGTGCTGGACGTGAGGGGGTGTATTGGGAAAAACTCAAGTCCCACATCGACTAGAGATTAGGCAATTGAATAGTATATAAGTGGAAAGCAACTCTCACCTTACAAGCCGGTTTTGTAGGGTTGAGTTAGGCTTAATCCACTATTCTAACATTAACTCTTTATGTTTATATGTTTGCGTTTTGGGATAAAAGCCACTTGCAAGATTAAAACAAGTACCAGAGAATGTGTTTGATAAGAGAGAGACATAAAAAGGGGTTTTACTTTGATAGTGTGACATCGGGACAGAGTTTTCATATTAGTAGTTATTTGAAATTGTTGAGTTTCTATTTCATTATATTTTATTGTTGGAACATTATGAAATTAGGCAATTGTGCCTTGTGTAACACATTGTTTTTCATAAAATCTAATATAAGTATCTTATTAATAACTTTTAGTATTTTTATTTTATTAATAGGAGTTGTTTAATATTTATTTAATTATTTGGTATATTTAGGAACATAATATAAGGAATTTTTATTTAAATGGTTTATTTTTATTTAATTAAAAGGGAAGGAATTTTTAATTGTGGTGAATATGTTTTAACTAGAGGAATAAATGGAGGTTAAGGTTTAAAAAAAAAATAGATTTCTGATCAATCCCCTTTTACACTTTTATTTTCACATACACGCTTCAGAGCTTAGAGAATAAGAGTAAAATGGAAATCACCATGAAGTTGTGCACTCGTCATTTAGTGCTTATCCAGGTAAAAGAGAGTGAGAAACCTCACTTTGGGTGTGGGTTTGTATGTTGGGTAGTTGGATAGGCCTCTAATCCTGTGTATGTTGTATGTTCATGTATGAGGGATTCTCCACAATTCTATTTGTTTCACTTTTTGTTGTTCTTATCTATAATTAATGGCATGAGTTGTTTGAATGATTGATCAATTTTATGTTTTGAATGGTAATTGTATGATTTGAGGACCTTGTGGGTTTTTGTGGAAAACCTTTAGGGAACTTGTGATAATTGTGTAAAGATATTGTATGTGTAAATTGAGGGATGTGGAATGTTAATTTCATGTTATAAAACATTTTTGTCGATTGAATTGTGTGTTTTGGTGAATTGAGTTGTGACTTATAATTCTGTATTTCTTCTTGCATGTGATTTCTGATATGTTGTTAAGCACCACTTGGAGCGTGTAAGCATCATCAAGGCCAAGAGCAAAGTTTTCTCTCGAGGTCTCTCACATCAGGCATGGGATAATTCTCACTTGGCGTAGAAGCTCTAGGGGCTTCCTACAACACTTCTGCCAAGCGTAAGCTGACTCGTGCTAGGCGTGGACACTCTAGAGAACTCTTAGTTATGTTCTCATTAGGCATGAGCTTGGTCCCTCGGGCATGGTCCAAATAGAGACAAATGTGGTTCTCTAAAGGCATCACGTTAGACGTGGAACGTGTCGTTGGGCGCCATTCTACCTGTGATTCTTCTAATGTTCTTGTATGTAATCCTATGTTGTAATTCTTGTAATATGGTGATGATGTGGATAGCAACTGATCTCTATTGATGAATATATAAAAGTAGATGATGAGTGATGAGATACAATGAATATGTGAAGTCTAAAATTATGGAACCATGTAATGTAATGCATAGAGTCTATTTGACATGCATCATGTGCATAAAAGATTTTTTTAAAGGTAAGATATGGAATATATCGCTAGAAAAAATTACTTGTATAAAAAATTGGAAACCAACCTTGTGGATACTAAGTTTGGTAGTCCCAATCTGCCCTCATGAGCATAGGATACATCTTTTGCGACTTAGTTACCCTGACCAAACCTTGATAGTATGTCTTTCTAGTGAGAGTGCGCAAAGGATGTGGCATGGAACATATTCCTAGATATTATGTCCTTCTCACACCTTTTGTCTAAAACAATTAAATATGAATATGGAACTAATTATCTTGGGTCCTAAGAAGAATGATGACTTACATTATGCGTCCATACATGATTAAGCACTTAATTACTTTTCCTAAAAGAGTACACTTAGATTGGCTATACTTGTATCATGATTTTTCTTACAGTTTAGGATTTTTTAATTTAAAAAAAAAGGATTTTGCCATAGAGTTTTTATCCATATGGTGAGGAAAGAGTTAAGTTAGAACATTTAAATTACTATATTTGAACCAAACATATGCTTGGTCATATAGTGAAGTTCATAAAAAAAGGAAAGTCTTATCAATGGATTTAGAGGATGTTAATTTCTCATACGAGGAATGCTAAGAACACACTCTTTTGAATACATTCTTTCAAATAGGTTGAAATTTATGGGAAAACACAAGTGTTGGTCTATCTCACACCTTATTTAATCACTTCCTCTCACTCACTCAATTTTTGTGATTTTTAATAAATATAAACAAACAAGAAAGAGT